GGGGGGGGGGTGGAGGGGACTCATTAATCAACGGTGTCGGCCGTGCGAATATGCCTGCCGAGAGCGATGTATGCCGGTAACTTAACATGAACTTCATAAAATTTGTTTTTATCACAATTTCTAATTTGTAATTCTTCAACAGGCTCAATGGATCCTATGAAGCACTGAACGTGGGACTAATAGGTGATGCAATGGATGATATTGTCGGGGGTTTGACGGAATCCTATTGTCTGGCGCCAGGCGAAGACCAGGGTATGCGACCCCCTCCAGAAATCGACGACATCCTCATCAAGGCGTTTGATCGACGAAGTCTGATAACAGCGCGAATAAAGGTAGTCTGACTTTGTTTTTGGTCCATTAGTGAATAACTTGCCCGATTTCATATTAGCCACGCTCTCTGGGCAACGGTCACGTTTGTACAACTACGAATTGTTGATACGGTGGAGTAGAAGAACACGCAAAATTGACTAGCCTGCTCGCTATCGGGCTATTGATTAGTTTTGGATAAATCTTAGTGGCCCAAAAGATTTCTAACCGAAGCGTGTTATCAACAGCCGATGAGCAATTAAAGACACCTAGAGACCGACACGTTTTCAGCGTTTAACAGCTTTGGACGTTAAAAGTTATTTTATTTAAACGCTGGATAGGAATTTGCATAGCAGATGAATTTACTCATGTGAAACGGTTCGATTGATTTTTATTTGATGTATATTTGCCGTGGGCTTGAAATTAAAGGCCAATCCGGTAGAATACTGGTTTGGGTCAGCTAATGCACCAACCTTCTGTAATACATGACAGGATTTGATAAACGGTATACAGTCTGGGCAATACAATACAAAGGAAACATAAATAATAAATAAAATTTATAAAATTAGAAAAAACAGAAAAAATTTAAATAATCTAATGCTTTTCAATAAAAAAGCGCACCATAATTAAAATGCGCAAGTATGCAACGTTAACGAATCTACTCTGAACTTAAACTGGAGTGAGTATTGCTGGATTTAATTTAACATCCCCCCGGCCTCGGATTGCGATGTTACTAATTAATGGGGGCTTTCAAAACACAAATAATTATTACACTGCCCGTAGATCTCTTCTATTACCTCGTGGGTGAAGCATGTTTGTACAGCCCTAGTGCCTTTCTACTCTGCCTCTTACTGGAGACAGAGGCGATGCTTTTACGACGCAAAGCGGCAAAAGCCAGCGTGCTAAATGTCAGTGTTGCCCATCGAACTGGTTTGGGAACATTATTCGATGTTATCTATCTGCTGCAATCAGCTGATACTTCAGGTGCCTTGATGCTCGCGTCATGCAGCATTGCTCTGCAGCTACACGGTGTCGTTTTTTCTCACATGGAACTGGGAATGTCCACTCGCCTAGAGCGAGAGTGAACTCAGCCGTGCCTTTCAAGCAAAAGTGTTTATTTTAAATGAAGAAACAGACCTTGGTCGCACCAACGCGCATCGCCGCTTTCTTACCCCATTCACCACCAGCCTCCAATGACAGCGAAAAAATATTTAATACAGCCGGTGGGCGCGGACACGGTGAGTGAGTGAAAAAAAAAACAGCGCTAAACAGCACGTATGTGAGAGCGCGACCTGACCCCCCGAACTCCACGCCTAGCAAACTTTGATGCGGGGAGTGAAAAATCTCACGCACTGTCACGAATGTCGATAAGGTCACATTAAAGAATGACTGACTGCACTCTGAGCCTCATTCCAATAAAGGTCCGGACTATTTTCTCCGTTGGGCGATTTCCCAAGCAGCGACTTCTAGGAGTCTCGATATGGGTTCAGAGTATATTTGATTAAGAGTGCTGAAAGTTCGATTCGCAGATGATAAATCAGAAGAAAAAGATGAGCGTTCACTGGGAGAGGTTTATTATAAGCCTGACGTTTCGGGTAGTTGTCTCGTTTACCCAGCTCCAGAAAAGGAACAGCCTGGCTCTTGTTTCTTTACGTTGCCCTTTCTTCCGTGTGCGCTTTCTGTGTCTCGCCTTCGGCCTCCCCACTTATCATGTCAGTCACCGTGTCGTTTGTTTTGGTTTCGGCCTCAAGCGCGTTCGTACCGTCGGCCCCCGTCGCCCCTCGGCTTGTTTCAGTAGAGCTAGTTGGCGGCCCCGGTAGATCCATGCCGTGTCTGTCCCCAGATAAGAAGGTCCTTAAAACAACATGGGGTACAGGTAAATTTGTATGGCGTTTGACTAATAGTCGGTCGACATCCAGGCCTCTTTAATCTGCCTTGATGTGTGATAATAACCTCGGCCCACAATTTCAACTGCATCAAAGTTGAAATCGTGCTCCATCGCTGCAGCATGGGTTGCTACCTCCAGTAAATTCTCAGTTCCAGAGGATACCCCGAGGAGTCAGGGCTGTTCTCCTTTTAACCGCCGGTGGTTTTAAAGAGTTGGGTTGCAATTTTAGTAATTGGTTAAGGTATGCCTTGAACTATTGCTGCCACACAGGTCAATTGGCTTTAACAAGTATTATGCAGTCGGTCGACAGTTTGCACCAGTTGGTACAGAACAACTGTTTTCTACGTGTTAATATTAAGCTCGAAATGGGAGAATCTACAGAGGAATATGTTCAGACTTTGTTGTTTATACGCTTAAAATATTTTTTATGCGATGAAAAATTGTCAGCAACCTAGACACCAGCTTTCCCGGTGTCTGAAGTTTTTGTGCATATGGTTTGCATAAGACGGACACAAGGTATTTTAAAAGAAAAAGATGCGATCACTGGAACAAGAATTTTGTTTTCCTGACCTTTAAGATCCTTTCGAGAATCCTTAATCATAGGTAACCGTAAAATGGTGTGAGACACGCACAGATTATGTGCTATTTATAGTTTTTAGCCGTCATCCGCATGCGTATTATAATTATCAGCTCCTGTAGCCACCGTTTGGCGTCTTAATTGATGCGGTGATGGCTTGAAACTTCGCGCTCGACTCATTAATTGCCGCGACTTGCTTGTCCTTGTCGGATTTGGGCTTGATAACTGCGTGACAATTATGTTCGCTGTCGTGCGAGTTGTTGCTGGGTCCGGCCCTTCCCATATGACTGATTCTCTTGCTCATGAAACTTCTCAGTACACCGTATGGCAACGGCAAATCGTTGC